TTGTAGAAGCCACCAATTCTAGGTACCACCAGTCATGCGATTAACAAGAGAAGAACTAATAAAACGAACGAAAAGTATCGGGAAGCAGATAGCCGCTACGCGAATACTTGTGTTCCGTCAGATGGATCGAGCGGGTGAAAGTTAACAGGCAGAATGCCAACTTAAATGTGTAGTTAGGTTGTGTATACAACCTAAATAAGTACATTGTTTTGACCTGAGACTTGGATAAAATTCATAAGCAAATAAGAAAATAACAAGCACGATATTTTTACTTTAAATTCTCCGTACACCCATGACACACCGGCAACAATTCTTCTCTTGCTGCAAACAGAATTGAATTGAATAAATGCCTTATTTTACGTGGCGAGATTTTACTCAGGCCGTGAGGCCTGCTCTTCCGTCTGACCACGCAAATTTCGCTATGTTCCTTTCACCAACTAGCAGAGAAATGAGGTATTTCTTGGGCGAGAAACAGGCGATTTGAATTTAGTTCACAGGCATCATTTAAGCTTGAAGATTTTTTACATGCAAGTAAATCTACTAACATGGGACAGCCGGCTTTACTTCCCCTCCGAATGAAGGTATACGAATGATTTTTTCGCCCTTAAAAATCCACGGCTTCGGATTTGAACTCGGCAACTTGGGTATAACAGTCCGACACGCTAACCCTTACTCCATCGCCGCGTGCGAACACCATCACCGTGCCAGACGCACTACGCCATCGATTTTCCGGCAGCGCGAGGGCACTTTCACCCCGTGTCCTTCCCGCCGGCGTCGCCAGCCACGTGCATTGAGCCGAGAAGTACAAAGACGCTTGCTTGCCTGCCAGCCTGCTCGCCGGTCTGCCTCCCTGAAGAGATACGCCGCGAACGAGGACGAGGACGACGAGGCCGTTGTGCTTTTCACACCTCGGGAGGCAGGCTGGATGAAGACTTCTCATCTCCCCGCGCGTTTTTCAGCGCAAATGTCTCCCGCGCCCGTCCTTCGCTCCCCGCCCCCGTCTCTTCCTCCCTCCCACGCTCGTCGTCCGTGTGGCGTGAGGCCTTTCTGTATTGAGGTGCGCGCCGCGTGCGCCCGCCTTGCTGGAGTCGCGCGGTGCCGAGACATTTTCCCGGTGGATGTGTATGAACTCGCGCCGAGAGTGATCATTCCGGCGAGGCTCCCGATTTGAAAGCAGAAGAAGAAAGGAGGAGGCGAAGGAGAGGCTGAAGGAAATAATGCGGGGCGGGACCGGTGTGTGAAAGGGCTCCCATCCAGTTTATAGAAATCTGGAGCTTCAGCCTTTTGGAAGAATGTGTAGCACTTGGTAAATCTCAGGAAGATACTTTTATTCGTGGAAACATTCGAGATTTCGTGTAATGATTCCGTAAGAACGTGATTTTTAATGAATGTTGCTTTCGATTAAAACAGAGGCGGTAAAAAATTGTTATGTATTATTTAAATGAGTTAAACTTTCGTTTCAATTATTACGTCGAAAATATTTTTTTGGTGACCAAAGACAACTTTAAGATTTTTATAATAAACCAAGTTAGTGATAAAGCTACCATTAAATCCCACTTCAATTATTTTAAAGACATTTTCACTATTATATCAATATATATTTGAAATTTCAGCATGCATTTTGTTGCAGTGTGTACTCTTGCTAATTTCAATGAGGCGTTTGTGATATCTTCGCCACATTCGACGTTGAATATCCACGGATTTCACTCCACTCAGCCCACTCATAGACAAACGCACAACGGCATGTTGTTTTACCACAGTGTAATCTCCAAGCCGTGCGACCATGTTGACATCGTCGTCCTTGCCACTCAAATAGCGGAGTGAATCTGAACGTCACACTGTAGAAGTACATACATGTCAGAAGATGTTGACTGCGCCGGGTTCGAGTGTGCCAGGTCTTTTACAAATTTCCTTTATATTATGATGCGCCCTTGAACTTCTAATTTCAAGAAATTTAAATACAGTGTAATTGTAATTTTTTGTGCTGCGATTTTTTTGGCCAGTTTTTTCTGGTTAACAGAAATTCATTTAGAATGCAAATACATTTCTTCTTAATTTGCTGCTTTCATTGTTTATGAGTGAGTGTTTCCTCAATTAGTTTTCGGCTTCTTAGCTAGTAATCAAATTCTGACAAATGAAATCGCAGTTTCGCCAGCGGGATCGACCCCTTGTTCGCGTTTTGCTATCGGTACGTTGAGCAGATCTGAATGCACCCTGAACATGGTGGCGTAGTTGGTACTTAAAATATATACCTTTATTGGATGGGGATGGATGGTTTCAGAATAATATGATTGAGATGTAGATTAATATAATCGTTTGTAACACGACACATTAGGATTTTTTAGAATTCATAAGAAATTGTCGATACAAAACCCATTCAGTGTGTTACAACTGGATAAACAATTACTTACAATAAACTAACAGTACTTCTTCCCATGGATATTTTGGACTGAATAATTGGAGTGTGCAGGTTATTTACATAAAACATACTTTTGCAATACACATTACAATCGCCCTTAACTTGGAAACGCTGCGTCCTAGGCCCTTGATCCCTGCTTATTGTTACAGGAGGACAAACGTTTTATGATTACATGAACTCAATGGGGAGTTGTAGGGAACACGTGAAGGACATGTGTGGAAATGAAGAGGGACAGGTGGGTTCTGAATTATGAATCTAAAGTAGTATTCTACTAAATGGGATCTTTCTAATTTTTACAGATTTTATTTTTAGGTATTTTGAGTGATAACACTCAAAAAATTGCAAAAACGTGAATGTAATGTGAATGTAATGTAAATGTAATGTAAATTAAATTGACAGAAACAGAGAAATAATCATTGATGCTAATGTTAGGTTTGATTTTCTGTGAAATTTAATCACAATGCGTAGTAATCGTCACTTTAGCAGAGTATCGGGCCTATAATGCCGTAACCCGTTCAGGGGCTTATCGAAGTTGATTTCTTCTATGAATTCATTCTAATATTGCAAATAATTATTTACTTTTTGCGGTATATTTGCAGGGATGAGTGTACTTCGTTTTATTTATATATGAAAGGGAAATGCTATTTACAAAGGAGGGCTAATTACATAGTTTAATGGTATCGTCTCTAGTCTACAAAGTTCAACATTTTTCCTTCCTCATTGTTGTCCCCTCTCTTTATTGTTTATACCTCACGTCATCAGATTTATTAATTTAATATTTTGGGTTTGCTGTCCCATAACTGCTATGGTCATTAGTTCCGTAAGTACAGTGCATATTAAACACCGGGAGGTGACAGTTCTACTCTATCGCTAGAACTGGATGTCTGTGCGGATATAAACGTTGGCAAGCAAAAGTTTTTCCTTTTCAAGTTTGCCTGGCGGGCACTGCCCCATTCGGGACAAGCTCTAAGCCCCCGGCTGGACTTTCAGTATGTGTGGGAGTGTGCATTTCAGAGTGTGACTGTGTATTTGTGTTTGAGAATATGAGAGGGGACAACAATGAGGAAGGAAAAATTTTGCGCGGTCTATGGTCCGTTTGTAAATGTCACGTTCGACATATTAATCAGAGAAACTCCGAAAAACTGCGGAAAACAACAGTCGGCTAACATTTTTTTCAGACAGCGGCTGAATTTGACCTAGCTATTAAATAAAAAACTGAGAACATACATAAATGTCAACCCACTCACCCAAAAACTTTGAAAGTTTATTTCTATTTCGTTATTTCAAAAATATCACAAAAAAAGCTTACGTTATCTACAAATAAGATTTTCACGTTTCCGTTAACCGCGCGAATCTCTCAAAGACCTTCTTTCTACTTGTATCCAGACCCCACTAATGATGCAATCAGGAGTTTGTGAACTCCACTGACGCAGTTGCAAAGCTAAATATAAGTGTCAGACCGGCAGAAGATTGAATATCAGAATTAAAGATCATTTACATGCATGGAAACAGTTCCAACAGATCGCTCTTTAATTAACTTCTCATAAACCCAGGCCACAGTTTTTATCCTGATTCAGACATCAAAATTCTTGAAATGGAACATAAATTTTGGTACAGGAGCTTTAGAAATACTTAATATTTTTTAATTCACAAAGAAACCTGAAATTGACCTCCACATACAAGACAACTTACATGTGTCTCTAGTAATCATTGTACACACTCTTCCCACACAAATTTACTCTCCCGCCTCTTTAAACTGTTCCAAGTAAAACAGTTTGGATTTCCTCTGACCCCTCACTTACAGCACCAGAAACATTTAACTTAGTGTCAAACTTTCTCTGCGCATTGTCTCCCGACATTTGCCACCTTTTGCTAGAAATGCAGCTTAACTTTTTGTTGTACTTTTTGAAAACAAAATTTGATATTGTTTAAAAAATGAACTTTAACTTATTTTAGTTTAATTGAACTATTTATAAAATCTTATTTTTTACTATTTTTATTTATTTTCTATATCCTTACAATGAAAATTAGTGTAAATGCGTGAAACACAGACACACTTAATAAATTTAAGTTGACAAATATGTCTTCCGTTATTTCAAACAAATTTTTCTTTAATTTTTTCTGTGAAAGAGCAAAGAACGATTAAAAATGGCATATGTCATAGTTTTGTTGTACTCTCCGAATTTTCGAAAAATTAAATATTTACAAATAATGCTAGAAACTTTGTGCTGTTGTGACACTACTAGTTTACATCTACAAACAACTCACTGAAATCACGATTTTTGTTGCGATTCAGGGATTCCTCGATTTGAGGTTTTGTTAATTATACTAATTGAAAAGTCTCTCGAGTACATTATCAGGTAATTATTAATACGGATGTTATTTTACCTGGAGTGCAGATAAAAATTACGAAATAAGCGTTTCGATTTGGACGGACGATAACCGCGCCCTTTTCTACGAAGTCTAGTTTATTCAGAGTCGATTCCGTATTGCACCTATTGACAGTTCCTTTGCGCCCGACTAGCCTGAGCAATGACACAATGGATCTTATCTGGGTAGGTTGGTCTTAAATCTTACTTACCTCGGTCCTAGAACCGATATCTATAATACTCATTTGCAATTCGCGAAGAAAGAAAACTATGCAATCTTCAGCTATCATGGCAACCTCGCTCTTTCCCAAAAACAAGGTGAAAGATGGATGTGTTAGATACCCAGGAACGTAGGAAAAAGCTTCCCGCCATTAAATATTTCCTACTTCGCTGTTTCGTTAAAGCAACTTTTATCACGTTTGTAGCAACATTTTTATTTGTTGTTCTAGAGCGGACTGCGCCCACTTTTTTAACCATGTTGTGTGGTTTTGTTCAACACATTTTTTGCTGCAGCGAGCCACTGGTTTACGTAATATCGTTGGACGTTTACGTGATGAAAGATCGGGCTGGCCCTCGATCTGCTTGTTTTTCCGACAGCAATGAGCTTTTGCTTCCAGTGGGCCGCGTCCCTGGGAGCGCCAATACAGCGATGGCCCGTTCACAAGGCGGTGTATGTTAAGAGCTGCCATTCCACATTAGCTAAGAATTATCAAGCGGACTTCGGGATTCACGCACACAACCAATCCGGCATTGCCTCTCGTCGTCCCTACACGGCCTACGACGAGACTAGAGTGCCTCAAAGAATATTTGGTCGAAGACCCCTTTTGCGGAAATTGCCGAAGCCGACATGTGACAATATTTTATTTTACCTACTCAAAATAAATATTTATTACTCGATATTAAATATGCCACTAAATATTCAAAATTATTTTATTGAAAAATATAAATTGACACGAAAAACGGTATTATCATTTGTAACATTTAATACCGAAATCTGTTTTATCAAAAATTAAAGCAAAAAGAAAACAAACAAAAAAAACAAGCTATAAGGTTTTTTGGGTTTTGACATTAATGGAATGAAAATGCAAATTCAAAATAGTTTTATATTTAAATTTCTGAGCCTATGTTTAAATAATGATTACACTCAGAAAAAAACAAAAAGAAATACAAATTCATTCTTTTTATGCAGGAACTTTTAAATAGTACAAAATATGTAACAATTTTTATGAGATGTTTGCTCCTTGTAAACTGACAATATATGTATAGATGTAACTGGTTTCAAATTAGTGAGATGCATTGTCCAATTTTCAAGTATAAATGCAATCGATTTCTGTTTTGAAGTAATTTTCAATCTGATTTCTCTTCTATCCAGAACTACCCTAAAGCCTCTTTCGGCTATCAACCAGTAAGAATCCTCAGATCGACCCGCGTAGAAAATATCAATCACTTTCGGCAACTGGTACGTAAATGGTTTGCAAGGTTGAGGTACGCGGCGTGCATAAAATTAAATAAGGAAATGCCTGCACTTGCCCTATCTCTGGTAGAAGGTCAAATCTCTAGCGACGCCCTGGCGACCTTCCTCAAAGCTCTCTGGGTAGTCAGTACGCTCCGCGTGACATGAGTGAGCTGCAATTTAAATACTGAAATGCTCCAGTAATATAATTAGTTATTGGGTGGGTGTTTAACGGAGTCGCTACATAAATGTCAGAAGTGACATGGAAAAACAAACGAGACGGATCTACTAATCGAGTACATGTAGATCCAAAGATCCCGAAGTCAAAAGTACTTTAAAGCAATGGAAGATGACATTGAGGAAGGTAGGAGCGGTGCAGGATGGATTAGGCAATGTTGGTCTCTCTGTCGGTCTGTACTGTCATATCAGCCTCTGACGGGACCAAAGCTTACAACTGCGTCCCCTTAACATTTGCAGCCATGGGTTAAAGGTTAAGTGGTACGTGTGGTTAGCACAAGGACGTCCCTATGCCGTATACTGGTTTTCTCAACGTGAAAAGATTCTTAACCTGCGCTTTCTTATCGTCACACAGCAACAGATACTGTGACATCGCAAGGAAAGCGCACACAATCTGCCCCAACCGGGAATCGAACCCGGAGCCGCGTTATGGGAAGTGAGCATGTTGACCAAGGGAGCTACCCATGGGGAAGGCAATATAGGTACCGTTCATAAATTTGTGACTGCGTCGCTTCCGAGGGTAGAGGTGTTTAAGGCCCCTGCCCCCAGACGTCAAGGAGACATCACACGTTATACTAATATTCTATAATAATGTTTGTCGGTCAATACCTCAAACAATACGTTATAAATAACTGTAAATCAAAAAATAAAAATACATAACAAAATCAGCTAAAATGACAAATTCTTTTTTTGCTGGTCACTACGTCTAATTCTACCTCTCCCACAAAAATCCTAGTTGCGCTATTTGGTTTGCAACATCGAAAGTACACATCACACCGTTAATTTACCCTTGAAATTGAATATCGAATTACTGTCGGCTACCTAATGAAAACAACAATTTCTGACCGGAGGGAAATAAAAAAATATAGAGGCAATGATCGCAACAAACAGACCACTATACATTGTTGCTAATTATAAGTTAGCAAACTAGTAATAGTACAAATTATACACATTTTTACGTACAAACTAAAGATATATTAATTTTTATTACACAATTATATACGTTTTGGCTCTTCCACTACATATCTCTAAAATGCGTAACTTACAAACAACAACTTTATTTCAACATAAATAAATGAATAAAAAATACACAAATACCTTCGAAATGAAGACAAGGTATTTGTCAGGCGTTTTCGCCAGTGTCTAACCTCGCCTTCTGAGCAAGTGTAATCCCGGCCGCTCCGGCGCTGCAGAGGTAAGCCTGCGCGCAGACGAAGATAAAGACAAAGACGGACGCAGTGCAGAACGTCGCGTCCCGGCGCGGGCCGGCGCGGGCGCAGCGGGCTGAGCGGGCGGAGCGGGTGGCGCGGTGCGCGGCTGTACGGCGCGGAGTTGAATTAGGG